AGATAGATAGATAGATAGATAGATAGATAGATAGATAGATAGATAGATAGATAGATAGATAGATAGATAGATAGATAGATAGATAGATACTGTACATGATTACACAGATAGATGGTGACTAGCACAAATAAGAGCCTTCCAAGGGTCAATGATAATTTTTTGTGGTGTGGACTGGGGTCGTGACCCCACACGGTCAACAGGGTCAAATCAAACAGCAGCACTGAGCCCAAGAAGGTCATTAAAGAGACAGAGAGACCTGATGGGGGGGGGGGGCTGAACGGGGATGCTGTTAACCCCTTCCCCTGCCTCCCTGCAGGAATGAGAGGAAGCAATGAGAAAGGAAATGTAGTGGAGGAGAAGAGATGAGAGGTCATATTATTGTAGCATAGCAACCCAGGTTTCAGTGTGGGTTGAGGCAAGCAATAATATATAATATTGCTGAGAGGTTAGACTGCTTGGAAGAACCTTTCAAGATGGATGTGGAAAGAGAGGTGCACTTTCTGCACAGAAGAGGGGGAGGGAAGGTAGGAGAGGGGGTGGGGGTGAACAGAGTCAGTAGAAAAAATAGCCCAATCCTCCCATCTCCATCTACTCCCCCCCTTCTCTGTTAGTCTCCTTCTCTCTCTCTCTCTCTCTCTCTCTCTCTCTCTCTTTCCCTCCCTCTCCCTCCGCTCTGTGCATCATTAAAACAAGCAGAGTAGTGTTCTGAGCGTGGGGCTGCACTGAGACGGTGACCTCCACAATAAGAAGATGTTCTTGCTTCGGGGAAGAGAAGGTCATTTTGTACTCCTCTCTCACTCTCTCTCTCTCTCTTTTTTTTCTCCTACTACTTCCAATGGAGTAAATGAGATTTAGAGGGGGTAGGATAGTGGAGGAAGGGATCAAGAGGGTAGACATGCAGAAAGAGAGACGGAGATAGTGAGATGCAGAGGGAGAGAGGGCAGTTTAATGTAGGATTCATAACACAGAGAACTAAGATATGATAAACAGGGAAAGATCTGAATTCCCCTAAAGTAAAGTGGCGAGGAGGGTTAAAGCGAGGCAGACAGGGGCTGAAACCTCAGAAATCCAGGGCATGAAAAGCCTGAATATGAGTCTGCCTATTTTTCATTTGGGAGGAAGATTATTCCTGCTCTGAACTGGGGGGGGGGGATACATGTGTTTTCTCCACACGTGCAGATGGACACAGTGAGGTCAGCCAGGAGACATCCTTATCAAAAAACACCACGACTTGAGGGGTGACGAGCGCAATATCTGCATCCCCCATCCAGAGGCATCTCTCCATCACATACATACAACAGACACAAAGGCCTGCCACTGTAGGGAGGACAGGAAGTCCTATGGGTGACATGAGGACAGGCAGTGGTGTGAACAGCCCCAGCATCCCCAACTCTCCTCTTCCCCCCTCCCCTCCCTGTATGTCGCCTTCACACAGGAACAAAATGTGTGGGCAGCGAGCACAAACACATTCTCTGTATCCTCCAGATGATTATACATCCTTTAAATCCAATAACCTCGATTCATTCTGCTTCTTCTGGTGTCATTCTTCATTGTAATTCATTCATTGACACTTTCTTTGAGAAATCTGCTCATTCTTTGGCTTCTTTTCCTCCTTTATTAACGCCACCTTTCCTTCCTGTCCTCTTGCCCCTCAATCCCTTCCGTCCTCTCTTCCCTCCTACCATCAATGGACGTGGTTCCCATACTCTTAATTTGCTCTTTCTCTCTGAGGGAGGACTCTTTATAAAAGCCTTGTCGTTTCCCAATACTGATTTGAGTATCACTAAGCTGCACCTTCACACATATTGTTGTCTCACACCTTGTGCCAAATATTCCTTTGTAAAGCCTTCCCCCATCCCCTGCCTGCACCTGGTAGAGATAGTGTTCTTTCAGCCGCAGGCTCTGCTTTCTATACAAGCAGGGCTAGGATGGCACAAGCACCACACAGCTGTTCCCCTCGGTAAATTGATAGTGAAGGGTAGTGGATGGGGCTTTGAAAGCGCCTTGTGCTATTTTTATGACAGTTGTAGATTTTTTCGCTGTTTAATTCGATGTGACCAATTATGCCGCTGCGTTCCCCAGCAGGGGGGCACGCTGGCAGAGCAAATTAATGCTTGACTTCAAAAAAGTTTTCCTAAAGTGTGTTTACGTTCCTCATCTCTCTGTCGCGTTTCAAACACAAGTCGTCAAGAAAGGACCTGGTCTCACTTCCTGCGCAGAGCGAAGACGTGTGCGTTTCTCTTTTTCTGTGTTTGTCTTTTAACGTCTCCTCCCTGGCCTCAGTGACAAAAACTTTTAAAAACAGCATGCTCACTTTCATTTTTTAAAAGTCAAACTCAGGGGGAAGGAAAGAAGAACACAGCACAAGAAGAGTGACTGTCCCTTTCAGCAATTCAGCCTGATACACTGACCCACCCCACCCTCTCCCCCCGCTCCTTTCTCAATGCAAACGCACACACACAGGTCCATAACGCACCCATCACCTTGTGTTTCAAGGACTCTTTCTGAACATAAGTACCACACACACACACAAAACCACACAGAAATACAGAAATCCTGCTTTCCCCTCACACCACTGCTCTCCCCCTCTGAGTGCTGTGATGAGTGTTCCTGGGACTGAATACATGTGTAAGTGGCCTAATGATGCCTAAACCCATCTATGGGCAGACACAGGGGAAGAGAAGAGAAAGGGGAGGGATGGGGGGGGTGGTTGTAGGAGGGATCCGGGGTCATGCTTGTCATGTCAGGAGGATTGGAAGGCCACATTGGCGTGAGGGAACACAGCTTTGAGTAAAGCAGCTTGTTTCAGGCAGGGATTGTGTTTGCAGACCCTACTCAGAGAGGGAGAGACAGAGTGTGTGTGTGTGTGTGTGTGTGTGTGTGTGTGTGTGTGTGTGTGTGTGTGTGTGTGTGTGTGTGTGTGTGTCGTGTGTTTGTGTGTGAGAAAGAGAGAGAGAGCGAGCGAGCGAGAGAGATCTGTGCCTGGGCATTACAGACCGACAGCCTTAATCCACATGGCCTGACATTCTCCGTTATCCGGCCCTCAGCAGCCAACTACCCAGACTGATGGAGGCATGGCTCTACCCCCTGCTGTGTCATGCTACACATCACTCTCTCAAAACACCCACACCCACCCAACCACACACACACACATACATACTACATATTTTGCTGTGCCACCCACTCTCTTCCCCATAAACTTTTCCCACTTCCTCAAACCTACAACGATTCCTGGTCACAGCACGTATACGACTATTTCCTAAGAAACAAGCCCCTCCTCAGTTCCTCATTACTACAGACACTCACACAGACACTTACTCATGTATTGTACTGAAATACAATTTTGAGGTACTTGAACTTTACTTCACTAGCAATTTTATCCTACTGTATACTCCTACTCCACTACATTTCTTTCTAAAAATATTGTACTTTTTACCCATCTACATTTATCTGGTAGCTCTAGTTATAAGTTACTCTTCAGTTTGAAATTGTATATAAAAATAATAAAATATATCCAGCTTCTAAAATACAGTACATTGTTAAAGATTACAGCAGTAGCAGTGGCTTGTGACCCCTTACATAAAAAATAGTGTCTTGTTGATGCCCCTGGGTCATGTTGCAGATATCTATGAGTTGTTAGAAGTTTCACCAGACACTTCCTCTCCAAACTTCTCAGATGGTTTCATTTAAACTGTCGAAGGGCCAACGGAGTTAAATTATCCAGTATTTTACAAAAAACACAAAGATTAGGGAGAAGTTGAAACGATGACAAGAAATTTGTGTAACACACCTTTTTTTCCCCTTTTTCCTACCTCACCGGCCGCTATGTTGGGAACCACTGCTGCACTGGACTGCCATTGGAGTACCTGAGAATAAATGGATAAATTAGCTCCACCTTGACCAGCTACAACAGTAAAATGATGCTTACATATTGATGCATCAGTATTAACAATCTAATACATAAAAATATATCAATCACAGGGACCAATTCTCTGCAGAATGTGCACTTTTAGTTTTACTTATATACATTTTGCTGGTAATTTTTTCTGTACTTGTACATTTTGAATGCAGGACTTTTACCTGTAACACTGAGTACGTGACCAACTAAGTCCTGTACTCTACATGCTACTATGATATCAGCAAGGACTATATATAGTAATACACTATTTTCTAGCTGTTACGGAAACCACTTTCTCTCTTTCTCTCCCTGATGTGTGTCACAAGTGTTTAAAAAAAGTCACCTCATAATTCTTCCCATAACTTCAAACAACATATAGTGATAAAAATCCATCATGTGCGAGAAGGAGAGGCCGGGCTTTGGTGGAATTACCCCAGACTTTTTGCCAAAAATCGTCGTGCATGTTGCACATCACATGGCTCTCAAAGGTGTTTTCCAGCCAAACAGTGTCAAACTGTAAATGTCAGCCTACAGATTTTTTTTTTTTTGTGACTGACTGGTGTTTTCTTGTTGTTGCCACAAGAGGGGGTAAGTTACAGTAAGCCCTTGGTCATTACTGAGCCCTATGGCAACAGACGCACAAGCCAGAAGCCCCATGAACCACGCAGAACTCAATCCCACTGCTGACATCACAACGCAAAATTATTATTATTATTATCATTATTATTATTACTGTTGTTATTAATATTATCAGTATTATTATTTTAAAAAATGACAGAATATGCCTCAGTGTTTCTGATAAGACTTAGATCTGATGGATATACGCGCAGTGTGTTCGTTGTCTCATTTCCTGACTCTGCCCAGAAAGAGAGAGAGAGAGAGAGAGAGAGAGAGAGAGAGAGAGAGGAGATACGGGGACACGAAGAGAGAAAGAGAGAGAGAGATTGCAGGGGGAGAGTGAGATAGAGAGAGACGGGGAGAGAGGGAGAGAGAGAGACATAGACATGCACAGAGGAGGAGGAGGAGGGGGAGGCTCCTGATACCAAGACACGGAAAGGCAGGGGAGGGAAAGAGAGAAAGAAAAAAGGGGCTGGTGGAGGAAGAAGAGCGGGGAGTGGGAGCAAACAGGGGGAATAACACTTGAAGAAAGCATACAGAGGAGAGGAAGGACAGTACCTAGTGCTTTGGACATCCCCTCCTTTCTTCTCTCAGGCTGTCACATCAGATTGGACTCCGAAGGACCGACACCGCGTCCACCCCAGACCCCATGGGGTAACAGGTATGTCTGACTTCCTTGTATTAGTAGTAGCCCTTCTATCAGCATTCAGCCCCGCTCCGCTGCTAACAGGTTAGAGGTTTCATTGAGACGCGGCGGGGTGTCGTAGGATTTCCATGCCTTTATAGTATCATGTCAACAATTAGTTTTCTACCTCACGGAGCCATCGCGTCTACAGCTGATAGTTGGTGGGCGCGCGCAGGTTGGAGACATGACACACAATGCAACTCTTCGCAATCGTGGCACTATTACAGTTGGCCACTATATGAAGGCCTGTTTTTTATTTCGCTGCTTTTTTTTTTATGTATTTTTTTCTTAATTCCAGTCCATTGGCATCATGTTAGCCACAGCATGAGTGTATTTTGACAGCTAAATACCCGACCGAGTGAGCAGGCGACAGTCTGAAAGTACGCCTACCTGTTCCATACGTGACAGCCAGCTGTCTATTGCGCTTGTTGATATTTGGAGAAGCTGTCATTCTTTGACGGGATCCACACACTGTACATTTCACACATTATGTGGCTGATTATGGAACACAGGCAGCTGTCTTACAGTGGGAACAACTGCAGTTCATATCTACTTTAGGACAGACAAACTGCTCTAAAATGGAAACAGTTCATTCGGTGAAGTAAACCTTTAAATTATAGGCTATAACAGAGCAGAGGGAAAAAAATAAATGTCTAGTTTGCGTAATATTATTTTTGAATGAATGCCATATACCTGCACAACTGTATCTTCTGCAAGCTATACTTTTAGAAATAGCCTACTCAACATATGCACGGGTATATTATGTGACTCTTGCAGGCACATAAATCATTGTGTCGGGGTTTTAATCCCAGCTGATGGAGCGGGATCCTGGTGAAATTTGCAAAGTTTTGAACAGCATGACAACCTATAGCCACATCGTGTTTGGTAGAGGTAGTGGTTTGGGGGGGGGGGACCTGTCTTGCACACATGTCGTGCCACACAAACACACGGGTGATGCTCCGTGCAGCCGTCTGGAGGGGATTCAAAATGAAAGCGCTCAGAGCTTGGAAGACAAGGGCTTAAACCCTCCTCCTTCTCCCCTCGATTAACCTCCAAAAGGGGGATTTCTCCAGCTGGAAATTTCTGCTGCGTCAACACCCAGCCCTCGAGTAACCAGACAAGACAGGGGGGATTTTGTTTGCAGATGGTGCTCTCGGGTAAATTTGTAATTGACGAGGTACCGCTGATCATCATCTGATCCGTATTGAGAGTTGAAAAGTGTGGCGTCAAGTGTTTTCTGTTTATTGGCGACTAAAGCCGAAAGCGCCCCCCCCCCTCTCTCTCTATCTCTCCGCCTCCCCCTTTCGCCGCTTGTCTGTCTGTCTCCCGTGCTGTGTGTAGGCTATATACATGTCTGCTGTCTGTGTCTGCCCTCTCTCTCAAACCGGTCAGTTCCGTCTTCCTCCATTTTCTGCCATGCTTACCATGTGAGAGGGGAACAACCCCACTTCATTCACGCTCTGCATGTAGACAGCAAAGTGCGCCTGGCTGTCGTGCTCCTCTAGTACAGTAGCAGCCTGCAGCCAGGTGAGTGCATTTGTGAAAAAAAAAAAAAAAAAAAAAAGGGAAAAGGGACTGAGACTTCCTGTGTCACTCCTCATCTGATCATTATCTTTGCACTGGGCTTTCCAAACTTTTTCTGAACGTGAGTCAAACTTAGATTGACACAAGGGGTTTCTTTTCTCTGGAGATTTTTCTACTTGTTCCACCTTGTTACAAGCTGTTGCTGATTAGTTGATTGCAAAGGGATATCAAGCCATGCTGTTCCGACTTAAAGTGAATGAAACCACTATACAATTTAGCAGGGGATCCTCCGAGTCCCTCAGTGTGGTGGCTGCTGTATCAAACTAGTCTGTTTGTGGTTGTTTGTTTGTGTAGTTTGAGGAACTTTACAGCACAGCTAAGCCATTTTTAACTTTGGTTTGAAGTGCACACTATCAGCTTACGGCTGTAGCTACGTGTACAGCGGGTTAGATCTAAGCATTTTGCTCAGTATGACATCGGCTAACTGGATCTTTGGGATTAAGAGACCATCTACTGATTTTTCCAAATTGTCTTAGGCCTCGCTGGATTTGTGTGTTATTTTGTCCTTCCTAGTACAGAGTTAAGGGTTGGCACTTAATATGATAAACCCTCCAAAGTCCTTTATTCAGTAATTCAATTAGTGTAGGCTTGCGTGTTTGTGTGTGTGTGTGTGTGTGTGTGTGTGTGTGTGTATGTATGTGTGTGTGTGTGTGTGTGTTTGTTTATTTGCTTGCATGTGTGTTCATCCATGAACATTTTCTCTGAGTCCTCATGAGCAAGAGAAAGTTCAGCGATCTGCTTTTTAACGCTGACAACCCTCAACCATAAACTTGCCAGCCACACTGTCACCTTGCAATGGACTATCTCCCAGAATGCTTTGTGTCTTTGTGTTTTCCCCCCCTGCTGCCCTCTCTGAGGTTGCTTTCCCTAGGTGGGGCTGTGTAGTATTACCATTGCAAGAGCAGTGGACATCAGTGTGTGTGTGTGTGTGTGTGTGTGTGTATGCACCTTCTCCATCTGTGTGTTCCATGGGGAAAATGTAATACAGACCAAGACAACAGCCACAAGGATGAGTGGAGGAGGAGTGTAGGCGAGATCGGCCGAAAGATGGAAAAAATATTAGCTGTGCGTGTGCTCGTGGGATTGCAAAGGAGGATTTGAAGCACTTTCCACTCGTGTTATCTCTCATGAATGGGCCTTTAAAGTTGATTAAACAAGATAAGAGAGTTACATTTACTGTTCACTTTTTCTTGGTTAAAGCCAAAGTTAAGTGTGGTGTTTGTTGAAGGTGGTGGAGGTGGTTACTCAGAATATTAACAGTGAAGGTGGGGCAGGGTGTGAAAACAGGGTGTGAAAGTGAGACGAGGGGGCTTGGTTTGGGTGGTAGTCAGGATTGGAGCTCGTGACACTTGCCTCTAAGCTGTGTTTACGTGTGTGTGTGTCAGAGTGCTAGTGTGTAGGTGGTGCTCAGTGCTCCCATGCAGGTTGTGGGCTGATCTGTGTGGTAGCAGGTTAGTCGGCTTCAGCTACGCAACCCCTAGGGATGCAGTGTATTACCCCCCCACAAGAGTATTTGCGTGGGTGTGTTTGTATCTAGACAACATGACATTAAACTGTACAGTAGATTTGCCTCATGTACATTCTCCAGAAATGGAGAAAAGAGGACAAATGCTCCATAAAGACACATTTGTTCCCTGTGAGCAACCTTGTACTCCATTCATCTCTCTGTCTCTATCCCTCTCTGCCAGTTTCCTCGTCCCGATCCCCCCTCGGAGCTCACTTGTTAATGGGAACACCTGTTAGGCTAACACACTGCAAAATGAACCGTTTACACTCGCGCGTACACATCTTACAAGACACGCCACGTCTCTCCAGAGTTTTCTGACAACTCTGTTTTTTTTATCTGTCATGCCGTGAACACTATCATTCTCGCGTCTGATTTTGTGTCAAGACAATAATACACACATCAACCTCCCCCACCCCCCACCCCCCGATCCAAACCACCTCCATCCCCCATCCCCTAATGACTCCCAAGGCTTTTTAGCTTAACTGCTTCTATAGCTTATTGTGCAGTGCTGAATACAGGTGTTCCTAAACCCCATGGGGTTACATGGATGCTGTGGGGGATGTGTGTGTGTGTGTGTGTGTGTAACAGCTGACTTCTCTATTCACCTATCTGACATCCCCAGCCAACAGGAGACAACAGGTGAGTTTAAGCCATCCCCACCTCAAACCATACACACACACACACACACACACACACACACACACACACACACACATATGCAGAAATACACTCCACCACCCCACGTGTCTTTTCACGTAGGTGTTAATATTTCATAGCTGTGTGTCCGTCAGCACGCACCTGCACGCATGATAGGATGTCAATGAAAGCAATGAGCTCTCTTGTTCTTTTGTTCTATTGTGCCTGAATTTGAAATTGGAAGCTAATTTGCAGCTTTCGCTCTAATTTTTCTAATCTACCTCTAAGAATTTGAAGTCCAGAAGCAAAATCATATTTTGAATGTCGCTAAAAATAAATGCAAAAGGGGGGTTCTTTGTGCAGGGAAAATGGCAAGGTGTCAGGATTTTTCTTAGAAGTTGTTGATATTGCAAAACACCTTTTGGATCTCACATTCCTGAGGAAACAGATGAGGGATTTCAGTTTGTGTGCTTTCATCAGGGTGTGTTTTTCTTTTATTTAGGAATGCGGAGCAGATCGGCTCTTTCCAACCAGAGCCTCATGATCACACAATGCTTATCAGCGTCATGAGTTATTTTTCTGGAATCTATGACCTTTTCTAACATCGGTTATCAATTGCATCCATGTCCAAAGTCGGGGGCAGCCTAGAAATCTAATCAGTCCTTCTCCATTTTTCTGTTCCTGCTTAATGCACTCCTAATTGTTGGTTTTATATCCTGTACATTTTCACTTGTTCAGATGCTGTCAAAACAAATGCTGCAACAAGCGAAGTGATGACGGCAGCTGTTTCACATGTCAGGTAATGCAAGCCAGCTAGATAACATGCACACATTATCCTTTCAATTAGGTCTCTGTCACTTGTTAATGAAAGAACAAAGGAAGAGATAGAAATTGTATCTATTTTATTATCTCCATGTTTCTCGGTATAGATCAGTTAGTTAGCAACAGTGTACTTGCTCCCATATATATATTTTTTTTTTCAGCTGTGAATCACTTTTAGGTTTTGGGATATTCTGACTGAAACCTTTTTATATTTCTGCAGGAATCATGAAAGAAATGTCAGTATTTTTAAAGTTAAGAATCTTTTTTTTTTTCCTCCTGTTCAAAAAAGTCTTTATAAGATCACCTTGATTTGAGAGATTCACACAATCGTACTTTTTGGAACATCAGCCACTGGCTTTGCTACTCTGATAATGAGCTGACATGGGACTGATAATTATTGTTGGCATGACTGACTAAATATTGTGTC